ATCACGACTCTTTATCACTGACATTGAGGAATCCTGTCTCTCTGTGATCAGTTCCCACTTCTAGGCAGATGGAGCCCTCCATACACAAAGACTGTATATAGGCATCATCAAAGAAAACTATTTTAAAATAGCTCCTGGAAAATGTCACCTCTTCTCTCACCTTAACTTTCCTCCTTACTATCTACCCTGCATTGGGAGCCGAAATTAAGAGGCTTGCATTTCACAGTCCTCAGAGCCTCAAAAAGATACACACCTTCCATGATCGTCTCTTTATTTATTTCTGTTAATTATTTTTTATAGGACGTCACATTATGTCTTCTTTTACAACAAAATAAATGTCACATCTATACATTTAAAAAAAAAAAAAAAAGATACACACCACAGGCAAATCTCCATCATCTTCCTCTTCTTCCTTTTCTGCTTTAGTGGTTGAGATAGATGTCCAGCTCACGTCATCATCCACAATTCGCATTCTAAAGGTGAAAAATAAAAGAGCTAAAAAAGAAGAATCATTCTTGAATAACAGCCCACAAACATTCATCTCTGGTTTTAGGCTAAAGTTCAAAATCCTGTAAGATCCTACGGTCCATTCTTTGCCAGTATGGCCAATTTCACCTTGAACCACTATCTCCTCAATTCACTACTCACTAGTCATCTTCTGATGCCTAGAATGAGCCAAATTCCTTTCCATATCAGTTTCACATGTTCAGTTCCTTCCCTCTGCCTAACCTACTCTTCTTATTCTCTACTGGGAAACTCTTAAGTCATTCTTAAAATCCTAGCATATATATAAATTCCTTGAGCAGACCTTACAAAACTATTCCCCTTACCTCTCCCAACTAAGAACCCCTGTTACACATTCTTGGAGAACTTTCATTTATCACAAAAGAAATAAATCAACTAGTTGCATAATTAGTTGTTTTAAGACTGTATCCCCATTAAACTATAAGCTCCATCAGAGTAGGGACAGTGATATCTCATTCACAGTGATATCCTCACTGTGATAGATGAAGTACTCAATAAATGTTTGTTACATGGATCAACTATGAATGAGTCCAAAGAATAATGACTGCCATGATGTAAACTGTTATTATTAACAGGTATTATTTGAAAAGCCAGATTACTAATCACAACAACCATTTAATATAAGTGATATAATTCAATATTACTCTGACTTTAAAGATGAAAAAACTGAGGCTTAGATGAAATACCTTGTCCAAGGCCACACAACTCATAAAGTGGCACAGCTAGGACTGAAAGACTGATCAATGTTACTTCAAAGCTCAAGACAATTTCACGACAAGGCACTGCCTCCAGGAACTCCACACAAGTCAGAGGGATCAGAAGACAGCAAGAATAACTCAAGAACCAAAGAGTTAACTAACTAAATGGGTTAGTTCTTTAGAACTATTTGACTTTACAGGGTGTATTAGTTTCTTAGAGGTGCCTAACAAAGGACCACAAACTGAGTGACTTAAAACAACAGAAATGTATTCCCTCACAGTCCTGGAGAATTCAAATCTAAAATCAAGGTGTGTGCAAGGCAATGTCCACCAGGAAAGGTTCCAGGAAAAGATCTTTCCTTGACTCTTCCAACTTCTAGTAGCCTCTGTCGGCTGCATAAATCCAGTCCAGCCTCGGCCTCCATCTTCACCTGGGAAGTTTTCCCTCTAAGTCTGTTTCTGTAGCCAAACTTCTCTTTTCTTAAAAGGAAACCCGTTTATACTGGACATCTTAACTAATTATATCTGCAAAGACCCTACTTCTCAATAGTGTCACATGCTAAGGTTCTGGTTTGGAGGGGACAGACAGTACTCAACCCAGTACACTAGGCCACGTAAGTTTTCTCGTTTCAACAGTGGGGATAGCAAAAATATCTACTTCTTAATACTGTTATGACTCTTAAATAAAATCATGTCTAAAGTACTCACAACGGTACCAGGCACATGACAAGAACGGTATAAACGTTAGTTGTTATTGTTGGGAGTAGGAGTAGGAGTAACAGGAAGTGAGCATAGGTCAGGACCCGAGTCCTTGGCTTAGGAGAACCCGCACGGGCAGGTTCTGTGCCGCCAATATCCCAGCACAGAGCCTTTGAATTCGTTTCACCTTTATTCTCAGGACACAATATTCACTCTCTCTGGGAGAAAGGAATGCTACAAAGGCGGGAAAAGACTAATAAAAGTTACAACCCGGCCTGAACACACTAGAGATACTGCCCAGGGGCGCGAGCAGCGGCCTGAGAGGGTTCTGAGCACAGGCAGGCTCAGGCGAGCAGTTAGGGGCGCGGGGCCGCCGGGGCCGCCGGCGAGGAGCCCAGCAAGAGCCGGCCGAGGGCGGAGCGGGAAGGTGAGGGGCGGCGGGCCGCGCGGACCCCACCCTGCCAGGGCCAACTCACCCCTTGCCGCCGGCCCCGCTAGGCTTCGGCCGCTTTTTGCGACGCTTGCGGCCGGACTCAGGGCCCCCGTCGACGCCGGCATCTGCCCCAGACAAGTACCGCTTCAGGTACTCGGCCTTGGAGAGCGGTGGAGCTGCCGCCATGGCAGCGGCGGGAGACGGGTAGGGGCTAGGGACAAAATTGTTGAACGCGAAACGGAACAGCGGCGAGCTAGAGGGCGGGGCCATAACCGGAAGTGACGGTACGTTTGGAAGTGCTGGGCGGACAGGTGCGAGTCTTGAATCTTGGAGGACTGAAGAACGGGAACACGCACACTTACGGGGCCCACTCTACATCCCCTCTGACCCGGCAACTGTGTTTCTTCTCTTCGTCCTTCCATCTGCTCAAACAGCTGTGCAGCAAGCGCTGTTGTGGTCGCGAGGCTACATCCATGACTCCAACAAGACTTCCCCCAGCAGCTTCAGAAGCACCAGAGTAGTTAGGGACATGGGCTCTGGAGTTGCAGTCCATCTACCTTTGAGTTCTGGCTCAGTAACTTGCTAAATGTGAGAGGCCCGGGGCAAGTTACTTAACAAAATGGGGATAATGATGACATGGAACTCAATGATTAGGTGGACTGACATAGTATTACTGTGCAAAGTGCTTCGGGCAACTGGCACATTGTGTTTAAGTAATTTTTAATATGTTTAGGAGGAGAGGAATCTGCTTTAAGGGGCTTTCAAGAGAGGAATTCAGGATTCCAAACCCAGTATAATTATGATGAAAAACATGGTAGTTTCTAACCTATGTAACTTACCCGCATTTGATATCAGTTGTCCCTAGATTTTGTGCAAACTCTTCCCAATGAAAAGAACCTGGATCTATTGACGTTTTCAGCATGGCAAAAGAGAGAAGCTAGAGAGAATGAATTCTAACACTCAAGTTTGGGAAGATTTTTCTTCTTGAGGTTTTGAATTATCTCATTTAACCCTCACATTTCTCACATGGTTTTATTACCTTTACCTTACAGATGAGAACACTGAAGCGTGGAGAGATTAAGTTGCCCAACTTCACACAGCTAGAACATATGACCCTTGGAATCAGAGACTAAAAAAGTGGGGTGCAAGAGGTAATCCAAATTTTTTGAAAAATGTTAGTTTGTATATTTTACTTATCTCACCATATGCTCAATTTTTTGGTCACTGTTTTAAGGGATATGTATTAGTCAATGAGGCATTATTATACTTAATAAATAAAAACACATATCTTGGGACACAGGTTCAAAAAATATACCTGATAGAACAGGTTTGAGATTACCGCCCTGAGGCCTGCACTTTAAACCACTGGAATGCTGAGTGGTCACAGCACAGGCCCAGGAAGACAAGAAGGCTGAGTCTCTCAGGGCCTGTGAGAAGGGGGCACTGGATTAATAGTGCCTCACTAGCTGGAAGGCCCCATGGGTCCATTCACAACACCGCCTTGGCATCTAGTCCACTTTAATGTATCTCAAGCTGAACTCCACATCCCAGCGTCCTCCCTGGTGTCAGTAGGCATTGGGAAAGTCTCACAGTTCTGCTCCAGGAATGTTACCAGTAGAGTCCTCTCAACCCCATCACCTCCTGCCCATTTCTGTCTTCAGTTCCACCTCTAACCATTCTACTGACTACCAAATCTTAGCCTGACAAGACCAACATCAGGTCTTAAGCCTACCTCACAGGGCTCAAGGATCAAATGAATTCACAACCAGTAGCATGGCCAGAGGGACATGGATTCAATCCCTGGTTGGCCCTTTCTCTGCAGTTCCATCTAATAAGGCAAATGCCCCGCCTTCCCTGGCACTACCCAGACCCCTTCACTGCTTGACATTCCTCCATAACATGGTGAATCATCTGACACTGTTCTTGTTGGCTTTGACAACCCCCACCCACTCTGTCAACTCTCCCCACTACACTTGAAGCTCCATGAAAGCAGAGCTTTATTTTCTTCAGTTCCATGATGTACCTGCACAAAGCAAGCATTCGAACATCTACTGAAGGAGTGAATGAAATGCCAGCTCCACTCCCTAAGTTACAGTTGCTCCACTAGAATAAATTTTCTTCAGGAGGTTGAATTCTACCAGCATATCAAACAAGGACAGAGTGAATTCAGAGGCCAGTGCCACCATTTTAATGAGAACTTCTTCACCTGTCCTAGACTCCCTCCCCTCAGAAGACTCTTTCTGTTGAAAGTCAGTATTTTATATACCAAACCCAACTCCCAAACTCCAGATGTAGATGTCTTCCACCTTCTCCCAACTCTTCAGAGTTCCAGCCCTATAAGAGAGAGCACTGTGTGGAGGGAGGGTAAAGACTTGAAAGGAAAAAAGTGACAATGACGTGCCAGATGGTTCATTTCTGGGTTTGTTTCCACGCCAATTCAAATCCTTCAAAGTAAGGTCAAGTAACCCAAGAGGTTTGTATTTCCATCACAAACTGTTCAGAAAGTGTGCCCAGATCTCCGACTTAGACCAGGTGTCCTCCCTGCATGGGCAAGGCCTGGTAGGGGGCAACTCCAGCCTTTTCCAAAAGCAATAAATAACCCCATCGTCTGAGCAGCGCTGGAGGCTGGCTGAGAACCGCCACTGCTACCGCTGGGCAGGCAGCCCTGTTTCATAGCCCTCTGTCTTCATGTCGTTGAGCCCCAGCTCCTCGTTTTGGTCAAATGTGCGCTTATAATGCTCTACCTTCATCTCAGGATCATCTTCAGGTGCATACACATTCTGCAAGGCCAAGGACAGATCATCAGTGCCTCTGCCATCCTACCATCCCCCTCCCCCTGGCAACTTCTGAATTTCCACTTTATCAAGACCTTAATGAGTTTTTATTCTTTTTTTTGCCAAGCAGCATGCAGGATCTTAGTTCCCTAACTAGGGACTGAATCCATGCCCCCTGCAATGGAAGCACAGAGTGCTAACCACTGGACCACCAGGGAATTCCCTTCATTGTTTCGAAGGGCCTTCAACACCCAACAGCTAGGCTCAGCTTGTGGGCAGCAACAGAGCTCGCATGGGCTGGGAGGGGACTGCAGGGAGGAAAACTTTCTATCTGCACCTTCTTACAAAGAAGGCAGCATACTCTAAATTGTGGGGCAATCTTAGAAAAGTTTTGCCTGATCCATAATAACTACCCAATAAATGTTAAAGTTACTATCAATCACCAGAGAATCTCCCTTGTCAGCTTAAAGTTTCCCATCCTGGCCCCTGGACGAGGCACCATGTCTGCTCGCTCTGCAGCCAGATTTGCAAAATGAAACTCCGTGTTGTACTGAGAGCTGGGACTCCAACTAAACCAGAGGAAGGAGGAACCTGGGAGTCTCCTTTTTCCCCTCTCGACACACAGTCCCTTCCACCTCCCCTCCTCCTCATGTTCCAATTTCTGCTAAGTTTCCCTGATAAAAAGGAGTTCATTTAGAATTGAGTGTCTCAGTTTCTGGAGAAGTAATATGTATTTAAGGATGGTCAGAAAAGACACCTCTATGAAATACCAGGGAAGGTCTACTGTACCTGCAAGTAGCTGTTTCCTGCCGGATCATCCATAATAAAGTGAGCCTTCAAAATACCCTCGAGGATCTAAAGGAGACAGAATTCAGCATGATCATGTAAATCTTACATAGTTCCTTGCAGGAAAGAGCTGTGTCTGCCAGCCTAATTTACAAGCAACCTAATTTACACTGCAGAATTCCCCCAAAGTTTTAAGAACTAGTGAAATGGAGGTACCTCTAGAGGTGGAGTGGAGAGGATCTAAAATAAGAATCTTTGATAGTTATTTAAGAAGCATCCCTATTTCCTCTCTCACCCCAAACATCAACAATTGTCCTTCCTCCATCCCAAGAGCAGATAGAGGATGCTGTGGAGAAGTGAGCGCAAAGCACTATGGCCTGGGGGACACTGACCCAGTGGAGGGTAGAGCGGAAGGAATCAAGAACAGGAAGTTAAGTGAATGGAGCCTCAGTGCAAACATACCCGCCCCCAGTCCTGTTCCCACACTGGGCTCTCAGAACACTGCCAGCCAAGCCTTCACCCTCAGGCCATGAAATGGAACACGCACTGCTGGGAATCTGACCAGCCCAAGAGGAAACACTTAACAACTCAAGCATTGGAGTCACCTCAACAAAATGGCTAAGCTGAATCCCCCTCCAGTGACCCAATGTCAATAAGACTCACCCCACTCAGGTGGTTTAGTCATCTACTTTTAAATAGACATCCAATGATTACCAGATATCTAAGCAAAGCCCCTAACACTGAAAGATAGAAATCAAATGGGGGGGGGAAGAAAACCCTTAGGAGGAAATGGAACCTATGCAAGGAAAATTAAACATAAGAAAAAAATATTAACATTCTCAAAGAGAAAAAAATACTACATCCTTAATACAACAGGATGCTATTTAAAAAAAAAAAAAAAAAAAGCAGGCAGAGAAGTATTGAAAGACCAAAAAAAGCCACTTGGAAAATGTCAGTGGAAATGAAAAACTCAATTAAAGGGCTGGAAAATTATTCTCCGACAGAAGAGCAAACACAAAGAAACAAAAATAGGACAAAAAAAAAAATTACAGACAACCAGACAAGTCAGTCTAACATCCAAAACATAGAGATTTCAGAGAGAACAGAGAAGAAGCAATAGTGCATTTTTTACAAACTCCCTAGAACTGAGCCACATGACTTTCCAGATTTAAAGAACCCACGAAGTGCTTAGCAACAGTGGTTGAAAACTGACCCACACCAAAGCACATTCTGAAATTTCACATCACAGGAGACAGAAAGGTATCATAAGATAGGTCACAAACAAAAGATCAGGAAGCAGAATGCCTTCCAGCCTCTCAACAGCCAAACTGATAAACTGAAAGACATTAGCAGGAAATTGGAAGCCTTTGGAAATTCTGATAAAAAATTATTCCCACCCAGAATTCTATCCCCAGCCATTCAGCTAGTACAAGAGTAGAATAAAGAAAGTCTCAGACATGCAAAATCCTAGGAATTCTACTTCCCATGCACTTTCTCATGATGCTACTGGAAAAGATGCTCTAACAAAAAAGGGAGAAAACCAAGAAAGGAGATGGCATGGGATATTGGAAACAGAATTCCCAACATGTTAGATGTTTTTATGTGGCAAGAAGGGGTATATAGCCTCCTGTTTGTTCACTGGAACCCCAGGACCGTAAACACTGACCAACCAGATCCTCTCACCTGGTCCAACTTCTGACTAAACTCCTGTAGTTTCTCTGTCTGGCCAGGACTGGAGCTGTCACCCAGTGTGAAAGGGTTCTTGGTTACCTGCAATAAATGGCATCCAGATTGCTAAAATGCTTGCTCACTGTTTGTTAGGTTTAACCATAAACCTGATGGAGGTGGGGGACCAGGGGGGAGGGGTGGAGACCAGGGATGCCCATCGGGGAGGTTTGGTGTCTATTTATTCTACACCACCTTCTGACCTAGGCAGCCACTCCTAAGACTGTGGATTAATCTGCCAAAGTGATAATGGGCAACATGAAACAAAAGCTACAGAAAGGTTCTTAAATATGAACTCTAGTCCTTGTTTGAAGAAGCACAAAGTAAAGTTCAATTACAAAGACAAAATACCTAACAACTGAGAATCAATTAAATGAAATGATTCACTAAGAAACAAATATATGGGTTAAGTCAACACATACATATACATGTATGTTCAGGAGTTTCAGGTACTAAAAGGACCCTCGTCCCCCTATCTTAGAGTGAAATAAATGACTTATTCAAAACCAAAAAATATCTATATCAGCCCAGAGTCAGGCCTGAGATTTTCCACTCTGAACTTTCCATAAACTTAATGTCATAATCCAAAATAATGTTTAACTCAAATCAGTTTAAAAATAAAGAAACACTGGTTATCAGCTCCAAAACCCAGGATCTTTGAGGCCTTCGAGCCCGTTCACCCTCAGCCACACTGTGGAAGCTGCATGCACTATCCTCAGGGGACTCACCAGTTCCCGGATGTCTTTCAGCATCCCCTCCAGTGTGGTGAACTTGCCCCCAAGGACAGCCATTCCCAGTTCAAATTCCAGCTCTGGGATTTCTACACTGCATGTCTCAGACTGCAAGGTGAGAGATCAAATTAGGCTTTACATCAGAATCCCCTGGAGAAAGCTAACCAGAGTCCTCCTGCCAAATTAATACTACCAGTAACAGTTTGGGGACAAAGTCAGCTGTCCCAGTTTTCTCTGAATCTCCAATTAAAGTCAGACTCACTCCTGAGGCCAACTTTAAAAGGGGACATTCTGAGTCATGGCTCCAAGCTGGCAGGCATCCTGTCACTATGAGTCCAGAAACAAGGGCCCTTACAGACACTAGAGGCAAAAGACTGCCAAGTCATCAGAAAGCACTTCTGGGTCACCTTCTGAATCTGCAGTTCTGACCATCGATTAACTCTACTCAGGGATCTTCAAACCCAAGGGAGTAAGGAGGTACCTCACAACCCCAGGACTTCTCCCATGATTGGGAGAAGACAGATTTCCCCTTGACACAGAGCCATGTGTGAAAGAGAGTCACTTCCCCATGCGGGCTGTCACCTTGAGCAGATCTCTGGTCATATCTGAGGGATCGGTGATGTGGAAGGTGATCCTGGTGCCCAAGGGCTCCACAGCTCCTCCAGATTTCACCTGCACAGATGGGAACAGTGTCAGCAGCAGCAGAGGAGACGCCATCCTCACGTAGTGCAGGGAGTCTGGGGAGGGGGAGGGAATAAAGGCTTGGACCTCCACTCAGGCCCACTACTGGCTACCAAGGACAGTGCCTTCTATACCCACAATGGCAGCAGTCATCCATGCCGAAACCAGGGCGAGCAGGCCAGGAGCAGAGTGCCTAGCACCAGCAGCCTGCCAAAACATACCCCAGATCGCCAAGAAACTGAATTCACCTTGAAAAAAATGACTCGAGATTGAAAGGGATTTTTAGTTGCATCTAATGGGTAGATTCCCTTTATAGTTTTTCTGGTTTAAGAATTTAAAATTTGTGCTTGAATACACCCAGGAAAAGATTTTACACCCAGGAAAAGAATTTACAACCCTCCAAGGCAGACCGCTCTATTTTCAGACAGACCCAGAAAGCTTTTTATTATTAAGCCAAAATCTGCCTCCCTGTACTTTCACCCTCTGAGAGGCGAGTCAAAAAATGGGTCTCTCTCTTCCATATAACTAACTTTGAATGTCTTCAACAAGTTAGGCTATTTCTAACTTTTCTCCTCTAAGCTAATTCCTAGTTGCTTCAAGAGCTCCTCACCCTAAGAAGCTTGGGAAAGGAAGGAAGCCAGACAGGGGTCACCCTCAAGTTAAGCTTCTTCCCAAACGACGGAGCCCACCCACCTCATTGGTCCGATGGCCGCAGTTCTCGCAGTTGGTAGCCATGATGATAACCTCCTTAAAGTGAGGGATTTCTGCAAGAGGGAATTAAGGAAATCTTCTTCCAGGAGAGCAAGACCACCCTCTGGTAAAGAATAAACCCAAATCTCACACACACACAGATGCTGGTCCCAGAACTGCAGGAAACATATCACAAGCCTAAATCAGACAAGCCCCCAGAAGAGGGCAAGGTCACCACCCACAGTGATCCCCACTCATCAATGTTTGACAACATGGCTCAGACCACACACAAGAGCCTAGAGACCATGGCTTAATTCTCTCTTTGAACCCAAAAGCCAAAGTGCACAGTCTTATCAAAGGCAGCATCCTCCTCATCTCTCAGAATAAAGCATATGCTTTCTTTGAAGGAAATAATTTTCCAGACTGAACAGAATGTTCATGCCTGAGTCAGATGAAGAGCAACCCAATGGCCCGATGAAAGATACGAACTAGCTTCATGTTAGTCTGGGCTGGAGCATTGCATTCTGGGCAATTAGTGTTGAACTGGAGCACCTGGAACACAACATGGGGATGGAGGGTGAGCCCTCCCAGACAGGTAAACCCTGCTCAGGCTAAAGACATTCTACTGGTGCGCTGGTGGCCACCCGTGTTGTTGGTCAGGAAGAGACTGAACGGTGTCAGTCTCAGCCCACCACTCCTTCCTCCACAAGAGCCAATGTGACTCACTTCATTTCTGATATCTTCCTCTTCTGGCTTCTCTTCTGGTGCCTCTGCCTAAAGTAAAAGAGACGCAAATCAAATGTTGGCACACAGACCTCAGCCTCCCCTGGAGGTGAGAGAAAATGCTCTGGCTTGCTTATGTCACCTGCCACCTTGTGGGTTTAACAAGGAAGTCAGAGAGCAAAGCCCTAGTCAAGGGAAGAACAGAGCTGACGCCAAGTAATCCAGAGTGCAAGGTAATTCCAGAGCATTCTTCGCTTCTTCAATGCACTCACCTGGAGCCCCAGCATTTCCTCCTGCTGCAGAGTCCGATTATAGTGTGTGATCACCAGGGCATCATCTTTCCGGGGAGCATGTGGGTTTTCCACAAAGCTGTTTCCTGAGGGATCATCAATGATCTAACATGGGTAAAGAGAGAGCAGTTACAACAAGAAATCACATACAATCCTCCATCTAACACTGAGGCACCACGGGAAAATCTCAGACAGTCTTATGGGTCTCTCCTCCCCTAAGTTTAGGGCACCTGGAGTCCCTCAATACTCACTAATGTGAAAGGAGAGGCCACTTGCTTTAGCTCTTTCAGTTTGGCAATGAATTCATCAATTCTTTCAGCCACAGCTTCTTCGTTCTCCTGACAGGAACAGAGAGTAGATCAGCCCTGGTGAAAGAACTTATACCCCCATTACTTCCAACAGGAAGTCACAACCCATCTTAGTGTAACTGAGAACACACTCAGGCTTCACAATAAGAAGTAGCAAATAAGGACTTCCCTAGGGGTACAGAGGATAGGAATCCGCCTGCCAATGCACAGGGCATGGGTTCGCTCTCTGGCCCGGGAAGATTCCACATGCTGTGGAGCAACTGAGCTCATGCACCTAAAGCCTGTGCGCCACAACAAGAGAAATCATTGCAATGAGAAGCCTGAGCACCACAACCAGAGAAAGTCCACGCACAGCACTGAAAACCCAGTGCAGCCAAAAATTAATTAATTTTTAAAAATAAATAAATAAATGTAGCAAATAAGTTTGAAGTTTATGGTTGGTGCCAGACAAGTCTCCTTTTTTAACTCATTCAGCTATTTAGTCCAGGCATTTGTGCCAGGCAACAGACAACAGTAAATAAACGAGAACCCTTTCATGGGGCTTTATTTAAAAAAACCAGAGACTTATCTGTCCACTTAAGAAGACAGATGACTAAATTTTTAATTTTATTATTTCCCATATGTATGTATATATAAGATGTCAAAATAGGTATAAGACACAATGGAGCACTCAGGAAGCACAGATAAAACCAAGGGTGTTAGGAAAGGCTCTTCAGAGCTAACAGTGCAGTGTCTGTCTGATAAGAGGCCTCAATGTACAGTGGAGGAGGGGAAGTGGAAAGGACAGTGGTACAACATATGTAACATCCAGGCAGCTATAGCATCACCATTCGCTTCCCCTCAAAGTTCTCCAACATTCAGTCAGAGACAGTTCAGCCACATGGGAAGGTGAACAAGTGTACAGAAGAAATTATTCCCTGAGCTGCTGCAATGAGAAAACCCCAGCTCACCCTTCGAGTGGGCTGATCCTGCTCCAGGCCAGAGATAGCACGGCTGATCAATCCTTCAACAGTAGTCAGAGCTGGTGAGTAAGAACAAAAGACAGGTCAGGCTTCGCTTTGCCACCAAGTGCCTGTATGACCCTGGGCAGTTCATTGAACCGTCTGGGCCTTGACTTCACCTATAAAATCAAGGAGGCAGGGAACAAAGTTCCATTCACCTCTAGTAAGAGTGATTATTACAGACAATTCTGTAATAAGTACATCACAGTGTTGCTGTCACTATATACTACCTTAAGCTACTTTATCTAAGCGCTCTGCTTAGGTTAAACCAATGAAGATCACAAGGATGTGGCCAAATCCATACATAAGCCACTACACCTGGCAAGAAGAGTTATGCAAGACAGTAAGATTCAGGCCAGGCAGGAACAGCGCAAACACTCTGATCTTAAATATACCTCCTTTCTGGCTGAAGGCAGGAATTTCAAAATCCAGCTCTGGGATCCTAGTGGTGGCAGAGTCAGTCTTCACTACTTCTCTATCCATGTCCTGGGCAGAACGAAAAACCTTCAGTCCACAGAAGTCAACAATACTGGAGCCCCCAGCCCAGCTGTTTTCTTTCCTCTCCCCACTGAGGGCAGTCCAGACTGCTCCTGCGGAATAGCACCTTGATGTGAACCAGCCACCCAAATGGCTAGAGTACTATTCATAACTACTGCTGATTTGATACCTTCTAATACTCCTGCTTCATTTGATACCTTACAAAGCAGGTTCACAAATCTTACCGCACCTGAGCAGATGATGGCACCAACGCCATTTTACAAAGGAGGAAACTGAGGCTTGGACCCTTAAGTGGATTTATTTGAGGTCCGACCACCGGGACGGAAGCTCCGACACCAGTCCCCAAGCTTTCTCTAGGACACCAGGGTAACTGCCCTGGGCCCCTCTCACCTCCTGAGCCCTGACAGTCAAAGTGTAGCGCACTCCCTGGTCCTGGATCCTGCCCGCCGACTGGATCTCCGTGTTGTTCCAGCCACAGTGCTCGCAGGAAAAGGAGCTCACGATTATTTCTCTGAAGAAGGGGATCTTGGTGAGCAGGAGGCGCGTCATGCCCTGTGGAAGCAGAAAACAGTTAAGGAGAGTACCAATGAAACTCCCAACCCCCCATCTACTGAGCCCCAAGAGTGCCTCGCCTCCAGGTCCCCAGTTGGGCCAGCCTGCCAGGATCGCCGACCCCCGCTCCTCCCCCACTCTGCCCAACCCTCCAGCCGCCTGCGGCCGCTCTCTCGCCTCACATTGCGGTAACAGTTCATGCACAGCGACTCGATCTCAGTGGGCTGCTGCTCCTCGTCCTCAGCACTGATAGGCCGGAACAAGCGCCCCGGCCCGGGATCCCGAGCCGGGGCGGGCGAGGGAGCGGCAGCCGCCGCCGGGAGCCCAGGCTCCACAGCCCCACCGGCCGACATCACCACGCGAAGATCAGGCCTCAACTTCCGGCTTTTGCCTCCCTCTCTTGGCCCACCCCTTCCTCCGGCACTTCCGCCAGCTACGCCCACACCCTCCCGCCCCCGCCCCTTCTTAAAGAGGCCGCGGACGCCTCTCGGAGAACCATCCGGCCTGGTTTACCAGTTGCCGGATTATCCAGTCCTGCCTTGAGAATCAGCTATGTCCAGGCTTTGTTTCTATTTCAATTCCGGCGTCACTGCCTCCAAAGCGTCCTCTCAGACCCAGGGCAGTTTTATTGATCCTTTGCAATAGCTCCGTCGCACAGGGTTCTAACTGTTGGTCCACAAGTCTTAACTACAAGAGCCTTGACCACAAGGGGCCTGGCCATCCATGGGTATCCCCGAGGAGGTGCACTCTGACCTGGATTTGCTTGGATCCACCTTTGGGCCACATGCTGCATCAGCTCTAGATGACCCTCCCTTAGTCCCTTGATCACTCTCTCCCTATCTGTTCTTCTCACTCCCTGTTTCTGTCCAGGTAAACCCCTGCCCCAATTCCAGCCTCAAATACACAGCCTTCACCTTTACTCCTGCTGGTCATCCCCACCACATTGGACCTCAGCTGACTCACCCCTCCTGGTTTCCTAACAGCCGCCACCAAGAACACCTTTATGGCGGGTTAAACTTTCCCTAGGCACGTTTCCCCCAGTTCAGTTGCTAAATCGAGAGTGTCATGGGAGAGGTCCAGTCTGCAGGCTTATGAAGCCAGACTGAGGTGGGATTCATGCTGTGAGGGAGTGTGGTGGTGAGAACCCTGTACCAGGCAGGCTGAGCTGGAAAAATGCTGCCCAGGATGTCCCAAGGGTACAGGACTGGGTGTGCTCACCCTCTCCTCTTCCTTCCACTTCACCCTCCCTCAATTTCCCAGTGAGCTATAAGGAGCTGGCTTGCTCCCAAGTGGTGAATCTGTACATAGGGAATGATGGAGGTGGGGGGATGTAAGATTTTGAGGGTTGTCAGTTGAGAAGATTGTCAGTCATAAAAAGAGACATTGTCAAAAAAGAGGCCATTCAAAATCTGGAACAGCAGACTAACGCACACTGTCCTGTGATAAGCAGATGGGTGAGCCATGCAGGTGCAAAGGAAGGGTCTCCAGTGTGCTCAGTTGCATCCGACTCTCTGTGACCGCAAGGACTGCAGCCCGCCAGGCTCCTCTGTCCATGGGATTTCCCAGGCAAGAATACTGAGGCGGGTTGCCTTTCCTTCTCCAGGGGATCTTCCTGACACAGGGATCGAACCCACATCTCTCAAGTCTTCTCCATTGACAGGCAGGTTCTTCACCACTAGCATCACCTGGGAAGCCCAAAGGGTCTCTAGCCCAGGCACAAACAGCTGTCAGCCCAGGCAGAGCAGCAGACCTCCAAAAATGAACTGGGAGGGGGTCAATGAGAAAGAGTAGCAAGGGACTGGAGAGGGTGACGGGGTGCTTTGGTGATAATGGTGAGGCCACTGCTTTCAGACATAGTCCAAATGAGAGTCACACCAGGCAAATAAGCTTCCATCGTAATAGGCATCTATTTCACTTGTGTCAGAAGTCTAGACTTCCATCTGGGAGTCAAGAGGGAGGGGCCAGAGATGGGGAGGGCACACAGTAGGCTTCCCAGAGAGTTTAAGAAGCCCCCACAGTTTGGAGGGTTCAGTGGACTGTTTAGATGTAGTGTTATGTCAGGAAATCCATGCTCAGCTCCCTCCCATCACAACCCACACCATTTGGCCCCACCAGCATCAGCCAACAGAGATACACACCACACACACACACACACACACACACACACACACACCATCACAGGTTCCCCTCATCATTTTCTCTTTCTTCCTGCTCTTCCTCCAGCAGAAGTTGTTATGACAGCCCTCGGGAGAAAAGAGCTCCTGTCTGTGGACCAGCTGTAGTAGTGGCCACCAGGTGGCCAGAAGTGATCAGAGCCAGATCCTGGGATAAAGAGACACAGGCCTCCAGCACCATGGCAACAGGCTTGCAGGTCATGAGCTCCTACATAGAATGTCTCTTTTCTGCCCTCTCTCGCGACCCCAGAATGGAGCAACTCGGGAGGATTCCCAAATGAGCACGGGAAGCCGGGTTTGCAAAGCCTGGTGAATGTAATGCATCTGGATGGGGGAATTGCAGGAGACCCCAAAGCCTAGGATGACAGCCCTTTGGGTGGCCTCAGCTATCCTGTGCAGGACCCTCCACCCTCTGCCCGACTGGCCTCTGACACGCACATAGCATCTTGTTAGAGGCTCAGATCGCGGGCTCTGCAGAGCGCGCGTGGACAACTAGACCCTCAGGGCTCTCCCCGATGGCCCGGACTGTGGTCGCGAAGGCTGTAGTTGATGTCTTCCCACAGATCGTCGAGGCGGGCCTGCAGCTCGCCCCGGGCCTTGCCTCTGTCGGCTTGGAGGAACTCCGGGGCAAAGGCACTGTGGCTTGGCGGAGGCGGCGCCAGCTGCTGCTGGACCTCCTCGGTCTCTCGGTCAATGGCGTGAGTGAAGGCGGCAATCTGCCGGAAGGTGTCGTGGCGGAAAGCCTGGAGTCGCTGGCGCACCTCCTGGGACAGCACCTGGGGATCCGGTTGAGCCACTTCCTCCGCATCGTCAGCGCGGGCGCCAGCAAAGGCACTGAGCTCCTCGCGCAGCTGGTCTAGGTTCTGCTGGATGCGCTCGTGCAAGGCCTTCGCCTTGAGCGTGAGCTTGCGCGAGAGCATCTGCACGCAGCGGCTAAGGCGCGCGGGGCTGGCGATGGCGTGCGGCGCCACGCTGCGGTGCAGCTCCTGCACGTGGTGCCCAATGCCGGACACTAGGCGCTCGGCGTAGGGGTGGAAGAGCGCCTTGACGCGGCCAGTGTGGTGCGCCACACGGTTCTGCAGCTCCTGCAGCAGGCCCCGCGCCTCGTCCACGCCCCCCAGCAACTGGGCTTTGGTGCCCTCTCCAACCACGCGCAACTGCTCCTGCAGCTCGTGCACGCGCAGGGCCACCTGCTCCATCAGCTCCACGGTGTAGGGCTGCAACTGCCGCCGCAGGCCCTCCAGGTTCCAGCCCACGCGCTCGTGCACCTCCGCCATGTAGGGCTCCAGACGCGCCCGCACCTCCTCCAGCTCCTCCTGCAGCTGCTGCCACATCCCCACCGGGTCGCGTGGGAGCCCGAGAGGCTCCCTCCCCTGCCCGTTCAGAGGGCCCAACTTTTCCAGGAACTTGTCCATATCGCTGAGGTTTGGCTCAAGTCTGTCTTTCAGGCTCCTGGGGGAGGGGACAGACAATCGAGCCATCAGTCGGCTAGCCCACTCACCTCTGCTCCGAAGACATCACTCACTGATCCTCTGGGGAAACCAAGGATGCAGGGCGGTGGTCCCAAGCCAACGGCACTCCTAAGGCAGGAATTATAAATGTGGCACAGATCAACACTGATCTGGACAGCACATGTCCAGATCAACACTGCTCAATTCCTTGTTGCACACAGGCACCTGGACTCACATAATCCTTTCGTTCTGGAAGCTGCAACCAGGAGTCCCCTCCCCTGCTCCCTTGGTCCCACGTTTCAACGGACATGAAGGCAGCAGATACAGAGAAATCAGAGGCGGCTGCCGGCAGAGGGTGCCAAACAGCCCACGACGGCGAGGATAGCCGGCAGAACTAGCACTGCTCTGTTCTCTTCCCAGGTGGCGCTAGTGGTAAAGAATCCGCCTGCCACTGTTGCTGCTGCTGCTAAGTCGCTTCAGTTGTGTCCAGCTCTGTGCGATCCCATAGACGGCAGCCCACCAGGCTCCCCCGTCCCTGGGATTCTCCAGGCAAGAATATTGGAGTGGATTGCCATTTTCTTCTCCAATGCAGGAAGTGAAAAGTGAAAATGAAGTTGCTCAGTCGTGTCTGACTCCTAGCGACCCCATGGACTGCAGCCTACCAGGCTCCTCCATACATGGAATTTTCCAGGCAAGAGTACTGGAGTGGGGTGCCATTGCCTTCTCCGGCCTGCCACTGTAGGAGGTGTAAAAGACGTGGGTTCGATCCCTGGGTGGGAAAGATCCCCTGGAGGAGGGCACGGCAACCCTCTCCAGTATTCTTGCCTGGAGAATCCCATGGACAGAAGAGCCTGGTGGGCTATGGTCCATAGGGTCGCAAAGAGTCAGACACAACTGAAGCGACTTAGCTGGCATGCTCTCTTCCCAGGGAGTATGGGGAGGTTGAGGAACGGGGCAGCAGCAGCCATCCCAGCCTCTGGTGTCTTCTCCCTTCTCCTGCACCCCTTGCCCTGGCCACTCACGTGGGCTCTCGTGCCAGCTTCTGCTGCTGCTCCACCTTGCCTTTGTCCCCACTGCTCTGGCTGAAGTAGTCCCAGAAGCCTTTCCGTGCCTCCGTGGCTGAAAGCGCTGTGGAGAGGGAGGGGGTGAACAGGGGCTGGGTTTCCTCCCTCAGTCCACCCACACCTCCACGGGGAAGTCAGTGTTGAAGACTCACCTGAGAGGAGGACCAGAGCCCAGGCCAGAACTGCAGCCATGCTTGCCATGATATTCTCTGAGAAGAAAGAAGAATGGAGGCCTGATGCAATTGAAGAGGCAAAGAAGGGACACCTCCCAGGGGACTTGCCCCAGGGGCCCTGCCCCAAAATCTGTTAACCCTTCCCTGGGGTGTAGGGAGCACAAGCTGTCAGGGCTCAAAAGGACTGACCTAGTTGAATGTGGCTGCAAGGGAAAGGATGTCTTCCTGGGATGGGATGGAATGCTCCTTTTTCATCTCATCAGATCATATACAGTGTGGAGCTCAAACTGCTTAGTAAAATTTCCCTGCCATCCACTGCCCCCAGACCCCAAGAGCAGCTCCATCAGCCACTTATGCCCCCCATTCCCCTGCTCACTTATTCCTGCCCCCATTACACTGTTGGGAAAACTGAGGTATTCCCGGGATGAGGTTGGGGGGTGGAGGGAAGAAGAAATTCTGCCACAGTGCTCCAAGAGGAGGTCCTTAGTTCTTAGTCCCCACCCCCAGCTCTGCTCAGTTAGGAAGCCGACCCACATCCCTCTGCCCCAGCTGCTCACCTGCTCAGTTCTGGCCACAGAGAGCAGACTTTCCGCTTTATAGTCCAGGGCCTGGGCCTCTGGCAACAGTCACTTAGAGTAAATACCACGTGGAGGTTCAAAGAGGGACGACCTCAGCTGCCTCCCCATGCTTACCTCCTGCCCTTTTCTGGCACCTCGGGGGTTAAGAGGAGACGGCAATGGCACCCCATTCCAGTACTCTTGCCTGGAAAAGTCCCATGGACGGAAGAGCCTGGTAGGCTACAGTCCATGGGGTCTCGAAGAGTCAGACAGGACTGACCGACTTCACTCTCACTTTTCACTTTCATGCATTGGAGAAGGAAATGGCAACCCACTCCAGTGTTCTTGCCTGGAGAATCCCAGGGACGGGGGAGCCTGGTGGGCTGCCGTCTATGGGGCTGCACAGAGTCGGACAGGACTGAAGCGACTTAGCAGCAGCAGCAGGGGGTTAAGAAATACCCTAGTATCTGGGTGCTTCCCCAGTAGAAAAATGCTTCCTGGAAAGTTTTACAAGGAGTGGGCCTGAATTCCTCATGCAGTTCCCCCTAAACCCACGACCTCCAGCCTTCCTGCAGACCTGCTGGCTGGCCCACCGATAGAGACAAGCCTGTTTGTTGCTGAGGGCCCTGCTCTTACTCAACTGCCCAGAAGCACTGTGTCCCCAGACAGACAGAGACAGTGTCTAGCTGCCAGCCTGAAACTGAGCAGCTCTTGATAGCTCTCCTGGGAGCTACTCAGACAGCCTGGGAAGAGCCAGCATCAGTAGGCTTGAAGATCCACCCACCTCCCACTTTATGAAATAATCCTGAAACAAGCTGGGGGAGTTAGATGTAGTGAGAGGCATCTGGGCCAGGGGACACTGGGCCCAAAGAGTGGGAGCAAGAAGAGGATTCTCCCTGTGGGGAAAGGCTGAACCCTACCCACAGGGCCTCTGAGGAAGAGAAGCCAAAAAGCCCAGACTTCCTCTGATGACATGCCCACTGCATGTACTTAAACACATACATTCATAAACCCCTGACTTTTGCTTCTAAATGTATCTTTTTTAAAATTTTTATCTGCCTATGGTTGTGCTGGGTCTTTGTTGCTGTGCAGGCTTTTCTCTAGTTGCAGCGAGCAGGGGCTACTCTCTAGTTGTGGTGCATGAGCTTCTCATTGTGGTGGCTTCTTTTGATGGGGTGCACAAGCTTTAGCTGCTCCGTAGTATTTGGGATCTTCTCAGACCAGGGTTTGAACCCGTGTCTACTGCATTGGCAGGCAGACTCTTTACCACTGAGCCACCAGGGAAGCCCTGTAAATGTGTCTTGAATTGATCTCCTCTCCTCCATTTCCACCACTGATTGCATCACTACCCCACTCATCTCTCACCTGGACCACATTCTTAACTTCCGGCAGGTCTCCCTGCCACAATCCTACCTATTCAGTCTACTCTGCTGTGGCTGTTTCCAACCCGCTTCCAGCCTTTTCTTCTGCCATACAAACCCTTGGCATTCCTGAGCATGCCATCTCTTTCAGGACCCTAAGCCTTTGCACCTGCTGTTCCTTCTGTTTGAAATATCCCTTGGTGAACTCATATTCATTTTTTTTCAAGTCTTAGTTTGTATTAGTTAAGGTTAGGCTCAGCTGCAAATGACCAAAAAAAGGAGAAAATGAATAGTTTAAATAAAATTGATTTCTATTTCTCTCTCATGTAAAACATAGACCAATCAAGCCTCCGTCTGTCTTATTGTATTATCATCTTCAACAAAAGCTCATGTCCAAGTTTCAGCGGCTTCAGCTCCAGCCTTCAAGTCTACATCCCAGCCAGCAGGAAGGACATGTTCCCTCCGTTTAAAGACACATCCCAGAAATTGTTCTTACAATGTTTAATGACATCCCATTAGTCAGAACATAGTCATGTGGCTATACTTAGCTGAAAAGGAGAATGGGAAATGTAGTCTTTATTCTGGATAGCTGTATTTCCAGCAGCGAAAGAGTTGTGTTACTCAGGAAGAAGAGAAAATGCTTTCAGGAGGACAAGAGTAGGCTCTGCCACACAGGTTCAATATCAGTCTAAATGCCCTCTTCTGTCCACACCCATCTCTGGAGACAGACAATTCCATACTAACCATGGAACAGTTTGCATATTCCTGGAGTATAGCACTTACTATCCTGCAGTGCAATGATTTCTTGACATATATGAGATTTCTCTGAGTACAGGGACTTTGTCTAATTCATCTCCATGTCCTCCTATTATGTTTGGCACAGCATATGATACATAAAATTAAGTGACTGAATTCATTTATTCAATTGATTAAGGAACTAAGGTTTAGGGATATTAAATAAGTGTCCATCATCATCTAGTAAGAGATGCGGCCAGAATTGGAACCCAGGTGTTTATCTCTAATAGCTCGGGACAGCACGGGATGGGGCAGAAAGGGTAAGGAAACCAGGAGCTGGTTATGAAGGGCCTTGTGTAAGTAGTCACTGAAGGTTATGTGATGGAAAGATCACTCTGGAAGGCTGAAAGATAGAAGGGGAGGAAACTGTTTAGAGGCTGTTTGAATAACCTGGGAGATGATGAACTCTCTGAACTCAGGCATGGCAGTGAGGATTGGTAGGAGATAATATATTTGGATGAAATGAAGTAGTGAACTGATAATACCTACTGACTGGTTGGATGAAAGAGGTGGAGAGGAAGGAATCCAGATGTTTTCCAGGTTCCTGGGCAATTAGGTAGACAACTGCATAACTTGTGTCCATTCAACAGATGAACACGAGCTATTAAACAAAATATGCTATATTCATATATACCAGGGAATATTATTTACCCTTAAAAAGGAATGAACTCTGGTACATGCTACAAAAATGGAAGGATCTTGACAACACTATGCTAAGTGAAATAAGCCAGACAAAAGGATAAATCTTGTATGATTCCATTTATACATGGTACCTAGAATAGCCAAACTCAGAGACAGAAAGTAGATCAGAGGTTATCAGGGACTTGGGGAGGGAGGAATGAACACACATATAACACTCTACTTTAGATTTTATTCCCATATAGGTCATCACAGAGTATTGAGTAGAGTTCCTTGTGCTACACAGTAGGTTTTTATTAGTTATCTATTTTACATATGGTAGTATGTGTGTGTCAATTACCACAATATGTTTTAAAAATCCTTTCTGGTACTCTAGTGCTTTTTGCTAAAGCTATGCTATAAAAGGTGGCAAGAATACACAGAAGAACTATACAAAAAAGATCTTCATGACCCTGATAACCAAAATGGTGTGACAACTCACCTGGACCCAGACATCCTGGAATGTGAAGTCAAGTGGGCCTTAGGAAGTATCACTGTGAACAGTTAGTGGATGTGATGGAATTCCAGCTGAGCTATTTAAAATTCTAAAAGATGATGCTGTAAAAGTGCGCACTCAATACGCCAGCAAATATGGAAAATTCAGCAGTGGCCACAGGACTGGAAAAGGTCAGTTTTCATTCTAATCCCAAAGAAAGGCAATGCCAAAGAATGTTCAAAGTACCATACAATTGCACTCATCTCACATGCTAGCAAAGTAATGTTGAAAATTCTCCAAGCTAGGCTTCAACAGCACCTGAACCGTGACTCCCAGATGTTCAAGCTGGATTTAGAAAAGGCAGAGGAACCAGAGATCAGATTGCCAACATCCATTGGCTCATAGAAAAAGCCAGAGAATTCCAAAAATTGTCTTCACCAACGAGAATTCACTACACCAAAGCCTTTGACTGTATGGATCACAACAAACTGTGGAAAATTCTTCAACAGATGGGAATACCAGACCACCTTACCTGCCTCCTGAGAAATCTGTATGCCGGTCAAGAAGCAACAGTTAGAATCAGACGTGGAACAACGGACTGGTTCCAAATTGGGAAAGGTGTATGTCAAGGCTGTATATTGCCACCCTGCTTATTTCATTTCTGTGCAGAGTACATCATGCGAAATGTCAAGCTGAATGAAGCACAAGCAGGAATCAAGACTGCCAGGAAAAATATCAATAGTCTCAGATATGCAGACGACACCACTGATATGGCAGTAAGTGAAGAAGAACTAAAGAATCTCTTGATGAAAGTGAAAGAGGAGAGTGAAAAAGTTGACTTAAGACTCAACATTCAAAAAACGAAGATCATGGTATCCGATCCTATCACTTCATGGCAAATAGATGGGGAAACAGTGGAAATAGTGAAAGACTTTATTTTCTTGGGCTCCAAAATCACTACAGATGGTGACTGCAGTCGTGAAATCAAAAGACGCTTGCTCCTTGGAAGAAAAGCTATGATCAACCTACACAGCATATTAAAAAGCTAAGATATTACTCTGCCAATAAAGGTCAATCTAGTCAAAGCTATGGTTTTTCCAGTAGTCACGTATGGATGTGAGAGTTAGACCATAAAGAAAGCTGAGCATCAAAAACTGTGGTATTGGAGAAGACTCTTGAGAGTCCCTTGGACTTCAAGGAA